TTTTGCAGAAACTTGTGACCAAAATTCAACATACCAAATTGTAACCCAAAGCTTGATGGAGGTTTTTTTTTCATTTATGTATAATTTATTTATTCTTTTTTACAGGGTACACTACCAAATGGAAAAATAGTAGCTGTGAAAAGATTGTCTACCAATTCAGCACAAGGTACAGAAGAGTTCGTAAATGAAATAGTGTCGCTAGCTAAACTTCATCACAGGAATCTGGTTCGGCTATTTGGCTATTGCTTTGGAGAAGGAGAAAAGTTACTCATTTACGAATATATCCCTAACAAAAGCCTTGACTATTTTCTTTTTGGTAAGCAATTGAATGCATTACTTACACTAAAAAACACTATAAATTAATACTGTTGGGACTACAAAAAATTTTTAGTTCAGAGAAATTATTCTTTTATTGACAAATTAATAATAATTATTTTATTAATAAATTAATAATTTACAATTTATTTTTAAAAAAATTTATTAGGGAACAAATACTTAACTTTATTAGATTTTGAAACGACTCCAGAATTTCAGAATTCAATGAGAAAATTAAAGATGAAAATTTTCATAAGTAATTTTTTCTTTACAAGAAAAAAACTCAGCAAACTCCTACTTTTCTAAATTTTTGTAACTCTTTCTGGCATTTTATATCATCAATAATTTATGATTTTGAGAGGACCGATATATAAGAAGTGTTTGAAAAATTTATTGTTATATTATTTTATCGATTTTGTTTGAGTCCCGGAACTGAAAATTTTATTATTTAATAGATATAGTTTACTAATTTGTAGGATGTTAATAATTTAAGAGATTTTTACTATATATATTTTTTCTTAATCTTGTTTATAAGCCACATATCAAAACTAAATTTAATTTATATCTATGTCCTGTATAATTGGTGGGGTGTCAAACCAACAAACAATATTAACCTACTCCCAACAAACGTAGTATAGGAAAGCAAGGTCGTCTCCACAGGGAATGGTGGATTCATTTCTTTTAAACAAGTAACAAAATGGAGGGTTTTGGAGTTGGTGAAAAATATGAAATTAAACTAAGGAATTAAAAACTCTAGTCAAGGAAAACTTATATCCACCTTGGTTCATGCAATGATCATTGATATCAAAATAGTTAAATAATTCAAGAATAAACTGAAGATGGCAATGTACAAACCTGTATATCACCAAACTTTCTTTGTCGATACAATAATCGAGACCTCGAAAATTACTTTTAACCAATAGAAAAATCCCCGAAACCTCGCAGGACTAACAGTTCTAATGGTTACCGAGAAAAAAAGATTTAAAACAAAACATTAAACACTAACCGGGTTTTATGCATGTAATTGATTTATTTTCAAAATATAGTTTAAGTACTTAACCAAGTAAAAAAAATATATTGAATGCCTTCTCAAACTTAACAAAACCTTGTCTAGCTTGATTAGCTGTAAATCGTTTGGCAGAGATTGAAGGCTAACCAACGCTCCAATTCAGCTGCTAACAATTATATTAAATGTTAATTGTATTGCGAAGATCAAAGGCTAACCAGCACTTCGATGCAACGACTAACAATTATAACACAAAATCAAAAGTAGAAAATTAATGTTTTTTGTGAACTATAAAAGTAAAGTGCAAAATATCTCACATATGTAAGAACACAAGACTTCAATAATTTTCTTGACTAGAAAAAGAAAATTTAGCCACTAAACATTTTGAAGAACAAAGCAAAAGATTTTATAAATTGGAGAAAAGAAATGAAGAACAAAGGAGAAAAGAGAAAGAAAGTCTAAAACTAAAAAGACTGGATGTCTGGCTACTTTCCTCTGCAGAGGTATTTATAGAAGTATTTTTCTAGTAAAAAGTCTTCCTTTAGTTTTGGTCAAAGAAAATAAAATCAGAATAATATCTAAACTCCTCAACAACCAAATAAAATATAAGATATTATTTTTCTCTAAAATCTTGGAATAAAAAATTGGAGGCTCGGTCAAAACGCGTTGTGCGTCTATTTCTCTTGCCAAAAACTGATTTCTTTTATTCCCAACTGGCGTGATCACGCGGTAGCTCACGTGAGTCATAAGAAACACAAAGTCTCTTGAATAGAATCACATGATCACGTGCTACTTTGCTTCCTTTGCTGCCTATGATCGCCATCCTCTTCCATCTTCTTTCATTTTATCACATGACCACGTGTTATTGAATGTCCGCGTCTCACCATCCATGGTTTGTTGCAACAAAAACTTTGAAAAATTGATCTTTTCTCTCATTTCTCATCCAAAGTCTTCACACAATCAAACTACATGTAAAACACTATAATTAGCATAAATTACTCTTAAAATCTTATGTAAACAATCATTAAATTCATGCTAATTATTGATTTATCAATAATAGTTGTCGAATTCGAGATATGTATCGCATATTGAAAATTTGATATTGTGATACGGTATCGTATCGAGTATCGTACCATAAGATACATTATATATATTATACATACTTAAAATATACATAATAAATTATATTTATAGAAAAATTGATGAAATTATATAAAAATATTTTAAACAAAAAATACTTATTACAGTAATTTTGCAATAAAAATTGCACTTTCATGTCATCTATATGCAAAATATTATAAAACAATAAAAATTGAAGTTTAAAGACATCATTCAACCCTGAATAAAGTATTAAATTTATTTTATAATGATGAACCTCAATTAATTAAATAAGTCAAATTATAACCTCAATTTAAGCTACAAGCATTGAGTTGATAATGTAGCAGTCCTAAATCATAAATAGGAAGATTCTCGTGAGATTGTCAATTGTTTTTCTTGTTTTCCTTTACCATTTTTGTCGGAAATGAGGTGATACTATGATAGTTTTAAATCAAATTTGTAAGTTTATTATTACACTGTAGAATTAAATATATTTTTAATAAAATGTTAAACTAATTCAATAGTTTACCAAAAAGTAAAAGTTTTATATTTAAAATAATTAGATGTATGCGCTGCATGTATCGTAAGATACATGATACGTATCGTGTATCACATAAAGTGTAAGATACACATGTCGTATCGTAAGATACATATGATTAGTGATACGAATATAAGATACGTATTAAAAAGGTTAAATTTTGAATCGTATCGTAAGATACGTATAATGTACCATAAGATATTTATAACAAGAGTATAAGATGAGTATATTCTTAAGTATTATAATAAGAGTATAAAAGAAACAAGAAATTTGTTAAATTAGCTATATTGTTTCTTGATTATTTTTGGGACCTTAAAGGAGAATAACTTCATGGGTATTAAGCGCAAACCTTAATGGGCCCTTATATTAACAAGGACTAAGCGTCTAAAAGTAGTCCACATAATACTTATTGGCGCGCGCTTTTTGATCATTTTGCCCTTTTCATTAATAAAAATCCATAATTTTATCACTTTAACGTTTCATCATTTTAACATCTTATCAATAAAAAAAAATCCCAAATAAAAAACCTCAATTATTCAATTAAAAGGGAACCCTAAATAAAAAACCTCAATTATTCAATTAAATAACAACCCCAAAATTGACAATCAATAAACTTACATAAATAATTATTTAGTTAAGAAATTTCCCTAAATAATAAAATTAACCAAAAATTAAACCTCAATTTAAAAAGGGTGAATTTTCCTAAATAATTATTCAATTAAACAAGAACTCTAAAATAAATAGTAGCATAAGATTAAATTTTAAAAAAATTAAAAAATCGAGACATGCGCCCTACATGCGGATAGCCGGCAACTATGCGCATGCCGTCAGTGTGTAGCCCAATGGCGGCTCGTGCACAAAGGGTGCATTACCGCTTGGTCTTGCACCCTTTGTGCGCGAGCATTCATCTAGGTGTGCGCTGGCAGCAGGCGCGTGGCTGTCGGCTGCATTTTTTTCCCCCATAATCTAACCAAGTAAAAGAAAGAATACATACTTGAAATAGTGGCAAGTTTTTTTCTCTTTTGCGTTTCGCCATGATATTCGGTGTTAATCGTCTAAGTACTGATTTCAAAAAGATGATTATAGGGTTGAAGATGAATAAGATTATAATTATAAATTTGAAGGATTTAAAATAATTATAAAAATTTATTAAAGTTATACTATGGGCAAAAAAGTTAAAATTTGAGCGTCAATAAGTATTACGTGGGTTACGTTTATCATTACCCGTTTATTTAAAAAAAAAGAAAAGAAAAGGAAATTCCATCCCAAGTATCATGCAAAGCTACGTCGTGATACTGAATGAATCTTATTGGTTCGAATTCGATAGTGAAACTTTAGAAAAAATTAAGGTCAGAATGCTATATGTGTTAGTTCAGAATTTCAAGGACATTTTATGTTTTGATGTACAGATCCGGAGAAGCAATCGTTGTTGAACTGGTCAACACGGTACGAAATCATAAAGGGAATAGCAAAAGGACTTCTCTATCTTCATGAGGAATCTCGTCTTAAAATTATACATCGTGATCTTAAAGCAGGGAATGTACTGTTAGACCAAAATTTGAAGCCAAAGATTGCAGATTTTGGTTTAGCGAGACTCTTTGAAATGGATCAATCAGAAGCAAGCACAAGCAAAATTATTGGCACACAGTAAGTCTTGCATGACTCCAACAAAAAAATAAATAAATAAATAGAAGAAAGTGTATAAAGTTAATACTTTGAAATTTACATGCAATTATGTTTAATTAACATTGCCCTTTGTTTTGTAACAAAAAAAAAGAAAAAGAAAAATAAGCAGATATATATAAAAGCATTGCCATTTGGCCCTTTGGAAGTTCGTTCCCGCCACACGTTTCATTAATCTCGAAAGTGGCATTTCTTCTATGTATACAGTCGAAAGTGGCATTTCTTCTATGTAACTTGTTCATATGGGTATAAGACTTTGAGATACCTAACGAAGAATTGAAACAAATTATTGAAATTCACAAGATTTGTTTGAATAAAACATGGAAATAGGTCTATGAGAGAGAGCATCAAGCTGACACGTGTTATGTAGGCACTTTTATTTTTTTATTTTTTTGTTTTTGTTTAAATGATGTCCAAGTTAATAATGATTGCCATTTGGATTTCTTTTCTTTTTAATTTCTTGAAAGCGGTTACATGGCCCCTGAGTACGCATTGCAAGGATTGTTCTCAGTCAAATTAGATGTATTCAGTTTTGGTGTTTTGGTTTTGGAGATCATAAGTGGAAAGAAGAACAGTAGCTTCTTACAGTCACATGGCCATGAACTTCGAAGTTATGTAAGTGTTCCACTTCACCCATCCAAAATGATTTAAAACTTGAGATTTATTGAATAATATTCTATTAAATAACATCATTAATCCCTGTATTTTGATCCATCAATATTTCGTTTGAAGTCGTATTATTATGAATGACTTTTAGTGCTTTATCTACTTTTCTCGTGAAAATTGGGGATTGAAAATTAATTTAGATTTTCTTCCTAATAAGAGATTAGACGACATAATAGGAAAATTAGTCTGTACTCGTTCTATCCCGAAATGATTGTTCCATTTAATTTATCATTTTTTTAATTTTTAGTGTAAATTATACTAAAAGTGAAATCAAATAAGACAATCACTTTGAGCCAAAAGGAGTCATCAAATCAAATATGGGTTATTAATACCTCTTGTAGGATATTTTCTTAAAATGTGTCTCATTATATGTGTATTAAGAGATCGTTACGTAAAAAGTGGCCCAAAATGAAAAAGGGTAAAATATTATTAAACGCTATTATAGATATACTATTTAGGTTGTTTGTACAATGTTAGCTTACTAAATGGAACACCTTAAAGTGTCTCATTACATGAAGATCTAATAATACATTTTCAAATATTTTATAATTTATTGTGATTCGATAATAATAGATATTATTTGTTAGTGCCCCATGCAATTTAGGTCATACGTGTCTTATTACACTACTTGTTGAGATACAAAAACTCCTTTTTGTTAGAGTGAGTATAAGTTACACTTGATCAGGTTGTGTATAGATAGTATTAAGGGTTGAGAGGTTGTGAGCACGAGCAAAATTTAAATATTGTTAAAGATAAAAATTTAATTAGAACATGTTTGGACTTCAAAAAAATCTATTTAAACCATCAATTAATTTTGCAGGCTTGGAACCTGTGGAGAGATGGACAACCATTAGCATTACTTGATTCGAGCATTAATGGTGCATCCTGTGACAAAGAAGAAGTGATTAAAAGTATTCACATGGGCTTACAATGCGTACAAGAAGACGCCAAACACAGACCGACCATGGCTTCAGTAGTTTTAATGCTAAATAGTTCCTCTTACACTTTGCCAAATCTAAATCCTCCAGGACCACTTGAGAAGTTCCAAGTAAATCAGCCTGATTCTCACCCAGATGATGAAACCTCAAGAAATGAATCTGTCGTCACTAAACTTTATACTAGATGATATTGCAGGATGGACCAGCTGGGTTGTTCTTTATGGTTTGAAAGTTTGAAGTTATTCTACTGTGTGGTCTCAATATTTGATTGTTTTCATGATACGACTTAAAGACGTTATTATGAGTCTTAATATTTTTGTGAAATGTTCATGTACATTATAAACTTGAAATAAACAGACATTTTGTTCAGTTGTGTAAGTCTACCATGTATTATACTATCTCATTAGTTTTCCGTCTTCGGGTTTATCTGAAGCGGTGATATGGCTCCTGAGTATGCATTCCACGGGATGTTCTCCGTCAGGTTGGATGTGTAACACATGTTTCGGAGTTCTAGTTTTGGAGATCATAAGTGGAAAGAAGAGTATAACCTTTCACAGTCATATGTCGGTGACGAAAATTGACCACCTACATTATGTGAGTTTTCCTTCCAACTTAATCAATGAGCTGATGTAACGGCACTCTTTTTTAAATATTTTGATTAATACTCCCTCTTTCCCAAATGACAGTCCAAAAATAAACCCTACGCCTATTGGTCATAGGATTAAGTTATTTGGAGATTAAGTAACTATTTTATTGTAAATTACCTACTATTAGTAAACCTACTACAACTAGGAACCGCTTTAGCTATGTAATCCTTCCCTATATAAAGGGGTGGCCTCTCCCTTATTTGGGATAAAGGGATATAATAAATGGGATTTTGGTAAAATCTATGCACATCAAATAACATTCTCGAACCAGGTTTAAATCATTATTTCACGCATTTCTCCCGGATACAAGTCCTTCTATAATTGTCTGGGAAACCACACAATTATGTATCAGCTCCAAATACTTCTTCAAAATAAACAACGGTATTACGAACTCGAGATCTAATCTTATTGTATCACCTATATTGCATCACCTAAAACATTTGAAGGTATATAAGCAGATATATGAGGAATAGACAACGAATTTTATTGTTGCTGAAAATGCAAAAATTTTCATGCTTTGAATTTCTTCAATTCATATGAGAATTCTCCATGACAAACCATAACAATAACTATAAGTCAATACAAATGCTTTTTTCATAAACCCAAAAAAAACCCCGAAATCATTAAAAAAAAAAAACCGTAAAAAAAAATTATAAGAGGGAGTGGGGGAAGAAAAAAAGAAAATGTACCATACATGTCTATACCTAAATAGATCGGTTACCAATTATTCTCAGTCGAATGTGTATGATAAGAAAATTGTAAACAGCCGAATCAACGGTCAATTCTTCTCAATCGAAAAAAGATAAGAAATTTTTTTGAATTAGTGATTGTTTGAAATAAAGGAGAGTTCTTATATCTTTTTCCCCAATTCCAACACTTTGAAGGAAATAAATGAAATAATAATTCCACTATAATTAGAGTAATTGTGGATTATTGAAAACATTTATAATGAATGTAAAAGAAAAATAATGAATTGGATTGATTGTGTTTGAATTTAACTAACGTAAGAATTCAAAGAATCACAAATTTAATAAGAGAGCAGGAAAAGACTACTATACAGTCTCTTTTTCTACTGTATAAAGGATGATAATAATAAAACCATTATTAGAGAAAGTGTGAATTTTTGAAATGTCTCAATGAATAAGAAAGAGAATAATGAAATTAAGGAATTATGAATTGTAGAAATGATTTTAATGAATGAAAAAGATTAAAGTTGATCAAAAGTGATGAAAAATTTATAGTTTTTGTTCATAATGAAATTGGTTTGGAACATGTGTGGAGGGATTACACCAAAGTTTACATGTGTAAAGGGTGAAATTCCCTTATTATAATATAGGTAGATGTTTTTTTAAAAAAAAAAACTTCGATCATGGTTGAGTTAGAGCATCCCGCCCCAATGTTGAAACACTTTGCTGCACACCAAATTATCAAAATTGCCGTTTTGATGTTGTTCATCTCCAACCCAAACTCTGTTTTATGCAGCAAAATTGTACTAAAAACCAAAAACTAAAAGGCAAAAAAAAAACAAAAAAGAAAATCGGAAGAAGGGAATTGGTGGGACACACCATTTGCTGCAACTACAGTAGGGTAGCAAATTTGGAGCATTACTGTAGCGACAGCAGCAATTTGATTTTTTTTGCTGTTTCGCTGTAACATTGGAGCAAAAAATCAGCAAATCCTTCACCAAATTGCTGTTTTGATGCAACGTTGAAGTTGCTCTTAGGTCATGTGCAAATGGATACAACTGCTAATAATAATTCTTATAAATTATGATATTTGCTCGTCAACTTGTATATTATTTTTGTGACACAAATGTATGGTTTGAATTTTACTACAAAGGTAAAATTTAAAATTAAATTTAACTTCAATCTTAAACAAAAAAAAAAAAGAACAATCTTAACAAATTGAATTAATATTGAGTATTCTTCAAAAAAAAAAAAATTAATATTGAGTAAAAAAAAAAAGCCACCGATAAGTCTCTTCTTCTCCATCCTTTTTGTTCCTTTCTGGTGAGCGTATTTGAGGAAAAGGCACTTTAATTTTGTATTGAGAACTAATTAATGCAGAAGACTAGTATAATATTGTCTCTGTCAGGACTAAGGAGTGTAGCAGTTGGTTGAAAGAGTATTTCAATTTTCATAGATTGTGTCAAATTAAGTTAGACTTTGTTTAACAAATATTTTGAGAGTGACAAACCAAACTGATCAGTCTTTTTCAATCTAGGAATCATTAAACATAAAATGTAAGGCTGAGGATTGTCTTCGTACTAAAAAATTAACTATAATAGCGATTTTTCTAAACCTATTTTACTTTCAAGACTAATATTCGAAGCAGCAATCTAATGTTGAATTTCGGGAATGACGAGACATCGAATCTGGACACATTTCTCGTAACTTACAGAAACAAATTAAAGATTACATTAAAAAGAGTCATAATCATGGACACGATAGTATAATTTTAAGGGGACAAAAAGGGGAGAAGGAGAAAATCATTTGCATCTGAATTAGGGTAACATGCTTTCCACTTATTGGCCTTCTCAGCTGGATGAAGTTAATCTCATAACCAAGTCAGCAAACACTACAACTCCCCAACTCGTGATTAAAAAAATGGCGAAATATCACAATCTTATCCTTATCTTACCCAATGAAAATATTTATATACTGAAAGATTACCTTCGTTTATTTTATAAACTTAGACCTGCAAAATTTGTTTTGTTTAACATACAAGAGTTAACCCTCGAAACTCCCTCTGTTCTAAAATTATTGTCCAGTTTAAAATTTCACTTTTAGTACAATTTGAACTAGAAGTAAAAATTTAAACTAAAAAATAATTATAGGACTGATGGAGTAGTATTTTCTTTTTTTTTTTTTCTTTGATTGTAACATCGCTATGTATCTAGTAATGTCGAGACGTGTGACTAATCTAAGCACTAATTTACTTTTGACAAAGCTGGATCAATAAGGACATTTTACGTGTTCGTCTCTACAGGACTTTGTTTCAGTTTTCAAATTTCAAGTGATTCTCAAATTTATTCTTTTTGTATATAAACGTCCAAACCTGAAACATCAAATTATTACATTTATGATTAGTTATTTCCAAGAACAAATTGAAAGGTAGGTCAAAGTAGGGAAAAATATCATAAATTTAAACCAACCTTAATCAAAGAATTACCATTATCTCGATGAAATACCTGAACCCAATTTTCCAAGTATGTGGAAAAAAGAAATAATTAGCTCTTGTTTGGACGTTATTTCGTTTTAGTTTTTCATTTGAAAATCTTTTTGAAAGTAAGTGATTATTTTTGAAAGTGGAATAATATAGTGACTAGATTTAAAACTTAGTGACCAAACTTAAAAGTTCAACATAGTTTAATGACCAAATTTACAATAGTTTAGTGACCAATTTTAAAACTTTACAATAGTTTAGTGACCAAATTTACAATAGTTTAGTGATCAATTTTAAAACTTTACAATAGTTAAGATGTAAAATGAAACAGAAACAGAAAAGAGAAACTAAACAAACAAGGGCTTAATCTCTGCGTCCTGAATGATTGTCCATGTTGGATGAACTTAGATACGTAGGACACACACCACTTGTTCAAAGAGCCAGCAATCTTCAAGCAAACACAAGTTGTGTTACTCGAACTAAACCCCTTTCTAGCCAAAACAACATTAAAATATAAGTGAAAGGGGTAAGTAAACAAACTGAAACAATCAATCCTCAGAAAGAGACAAGGTTAGGACCAGATTTACAATAATCGGGCACTGCCTTTTGGCCTTTTAGACTTTTTGGAATATAATAATATTTGTTGCCAACTTTGTTTATTAATGCTCAATTTTGTCTTATCTCTGATGTCTAAAGCAGAGCAAGTTGTGCAATTCAACTTCCTTCCTTCTTCCCTCACTTCATTGATTTCTATATAATAAGCCTGAATTTTCCAATGTATATTTCAGAAAAAGTTATTGCAAGGATGAATATCCCAAGCTTAACAAAATGGGCTTGCCTCCTTTTAATCAGTCTCACCATTTTCAGTTCTTGCCATGCAAAAGAACTACAACCATCCTCTGTTTCTGAAACATTTAACAATTTCTTGAATGTAACAATTCAATGGAGGAATCACCAGAGACTGAAATCCCAAGACTTCAAAATGGAATTCAACCTTCCAATAATGCTAGCTGGAGCTCTGAGCTTTGTGGCAGCATCCATTTCAAGTGCTGGTGGAATTGGCGGTGGCGGTTTGTTCATACCAATCCTGACCATAGTTGCCGGTTTAGACCTCAAAACCGCCTCAAGTTTCTCTGCATTTATGGTCACCGGTGGGTCGATTGCTAACGTTGTATGTCACATGATCACCAAGAAAAACGGCGGGAAGAGTCTGATTGATTACGACATAGCAATCTTATCGGAGCCGTTCATGCTGTTGGGAGTTAGTATTGGAGTGATCTGTAATGTCATCTTCCCGGAATGGCTCATCACTATAATGTTTGCTGTTTTTCTGGCTTGGTCAACTTTCAAGACATTCAAATCCGGGATATCTTACTGGAGACGGGAATCAGAATGCAAGATGATGAACAGATCGAAAAACGGCGGATGCCCACAAAAAAAGATGGAAAATGGGGACATGGCCCTTGAGAAATTGGAAGAGCCATTGTTGCATAAAGGTGGAAAAGGGGGTGGATTTAAGGTTGATGTGCCATGGATGAAGATGGGGTTGTTGATTGTGATTTGGTTTTGCTTTTTTCTTCTCTATCTTCTCCGTGGGAATCGATATGGACAAGTAAGCCTAACCTCACTTCCTTTCTTATTTTCTCAGTGTCACCATTTCTTTACTGCAGCACAAGATAGTGCTTGTTGTTGTCAGATGTTACTGTATTTGTTTTTCTCGTCCAAATCACTGATAAATATCTAGTTTGAACAATTGGCGGAGCTAAAAATCCAATCTTGAAATCAGTGCCCCTGGTAGATTATAATGTCCAGCAGGATTCGTTTGTCTTTCTTCGAGGATATAACCAGTATATTCTGATCTGATTCCGATTCTGATCTCGGAGCAGCAGTGATGCTCAGATATGTCATAATGATACCTGGAAACAGCTCCCCCTCCCCAGAATTGAGTATGAAACGAATAAAGCCAAATACTATTAGCAGATAAAATCCAATTCCAACCGACTAATATTTGTTTATTGAAGTCATCCTCTGATGGGATCCATTGCGATATGAGGTAAAGATAATAACAAACTTTTGATGATTTAAGGTTTCACACAGTTTTAGGCAATGTATGACTCAAAGCGGTGGAAGTCTTTCCTGATATTCAATGTGGCAGGCAAACAGTAGGTGCTGGATGACAAAATGAAAAGAAAACTATAAGGGACTAAATTTTAGTTGTTTCAATTTGTGTAGGGTATTATCAGTATAAAGCCATGTGGAGGCGAATATTGGATCATATCAGCAACTCAAATTCCTCTGGCCATAATTTTCACAGCATGTATTTTGTATGGCAGGAAAACCAGACAAGATCAAGTTCATGAGCAGGTTAATGATGTAGTGTTTTGATGGTATTTGGTACCCCTTTTCTTGTAGGGATTGCGAGTCTTTTTCTTCTTATCCGTTCCAAAGCCAAAATGTTGAGAAAATCTCATCTTTTGCACACAGGAATTAGAAAGTGGCAATAGAAATGAAGGGGGACCAGACAAGTTCTTATTCCCAGTTATGGCACTATTAGCTGGGGGATTAGGTGGAGTTTTTGGAATTGGTGGTGGAATGCTCATTAGTCCTCTGCTTCTGCAAGTTGGCATTACTCCAGAAGTAAGTTAACCAACTCTTCTTATCGAAATTTTTTTTAAATTGTTAACTAAAAAAATCGCCCCATCTCAAGATGAACAAACCAGATGAATCAACTAATGAAAAAGAGGTGGTTCTTTCCTTGGAAACAAACAGATAACTGCAGCTACCTGTTCATTCATGGTATTCTTCTCCTCCACAATGTCGGCATGTGAGTATCTACTACTTGGAATGGACCATGTACACTCAGCGATCATCTTTTCAGTAATATGCTTCCTCGCGTCCCTCATAGGCTTGATAGTTGTACAAAGAGCCATCGTGAAACACGGAAGAGCATCCCTGATTGTGTTTTCAGTTGGTATTGTTATGGCTGCAAGTACAATCCTGATTACTAGCTTTGGAGCACTTGATGTCTGGAGGGACTACACTGCAGGGAAATACATGGGATTCAAGATGCCCTGTTAACAAATGGATATGCAGAAAGAGAAAAGCTGAATCCACCTTGTTTGTACCAGCAGTAACATATGTATATTTACTTTCATTTTACAGCAGAGAGCAATGGTTAGTTAGGACTTCTTCAAGAACTCAGATTGTTCAAGCCAAATGCAGACAGGAGTCATTTGCCATGTGAAGAATTATACATCCCTTTTCTATTCAGCACAAGAAAGTCTACTGTTAGGGAGGTGGGTGATCCATGCATCACAATCATTTTTGAGTTGTAATCAGTTGTGTTTTGACTTTTTTTTCTACTAATGAAATATGGGTTGACATGTCCTTAACAAAATGTATCCAAAATCAACTTAGTCAATAATGAAGAAAGTTGAGGATATCATCCTTACACTGCCAGGCACTATCTATAGCATACACCCACCAAGATGGAATGTATTAGCTGCCACAACAACATTGGATCTTTGCTATTACCCCCAAATTAGGGTCCCAACTACGCCTGACAAGATTGCGATCTAAGAAAAGGATGTTCATTAATTCAAATCAGCAATCAAAGCATATGGATCTGTACCTTGCATCACCTTTGAACTTTGTGTTGGATGAGGCTTTGCAAGTTTTTTTTCCTTTGGGAAGTAAGCTTCATCTTCAGTTTCCGTGGAAATATCTGCACTTTGCACCTCAAGACAATACAAGGAAAAACTACATAGGAAAGATTACAGCTGACTTCTTGCAAATACCAAAAGATTACAGGTAATCGATTTCCAAAAGAAAGAGTAAATGAGCATTTGCAGCAACAGGGTGCTTTTGGCATTTGGTGAGCTTGAAAAACTCCAAGTAAGCTTACATCGTCCATTATTCAACTTAAACCTGGCAATTCCATGGGAGATGAGGTTGAAGAAATCAAGAGAACAGCCATAGTTCTGAGAAATGGAAGGTAACACCACCAATGTTTCATATCATTAATAGAAGTTGATCCATCAACCATTGAAATCAGAAAAATACTAGGAACTGGATATAAACCTTATCGGAAAATCTGAAACTTAAAGGATAATGGTTTTCCCTAAAATAAAGAGGGGTGATGGTTTTGAAACAATAAACACCAAAAGCATGATTAAGTATAAATCGCAACAATAGATTACTCATATTACTGAAAAGCTTATGAACTGAAAATTTCCACTTGTCAGTGAAGCTACTAGTGACTTTTCCCTTCTAAAAAATGCTTCTTAAATGGTAAACCTAGTCTAACCTCAACACCACAGAAACAAAATGCAAGAACCAATTCTCTAATCACTTAAATCAGAATGCTGATTGAGGCAGGGTTATGCAGTTGGCGACACAAAAGTTTGATCCTTCGAAGAATCAACTTCAGCAGGTGGTGCAAAATGCCACATTGAAGGTGCAGGATAACCAACAATTGGAATCAACTTGCTGCCATATACTTGATGCGGTGTTGCAAATGGAGTTATTCCAGCAGGAGGGTGAGCTAAAACGCCATGCTGAGTGCTAAAAGCTTTCAGTTGGTGTTCAAGTTTCTCTTTTTCTGACTTTAGCTTTTGCTTATCCTCACGAAGTTCATTCTTCTCAGCCTGCACAAGAAAATCTTATTGTGAATTAGGAATCTGAAATTTATCCACCAAAAAGTAGAAGATATCAATAAGAATAAGAACCCGCCTTCAATTCATCAACCCTCTGTTCCAAATTCTGATATGACACCTTTAACTTCTGAGCCTCATCTCTCAATTGAATCACCAGCCGAATAGCATCCCCAAGTAAAGCAATCTTATCGACTTTCGGTGGCCTCTCAGGATCAAGGAGAAAACTCAATTCTTGAAAGCTAGCAAGGAAAAAGATCAACATTACACAACAACATATTCACCAAAGTTGAAAAAAAAAACACATATTCCAAAGATTAATTAATGCTAGCAAGTTTGGGAGAAAGAGAGACAGAGAACTTTACCTATCATTCAATTTATCCCTTCGTATTTTCTCCTTGTGTGCTTTGGACATATTACCTCTCGCTCTGACAAAGCATGTCAAACTTCAGGGACTAGTACGGAAAGATATAGACATAAATGAAAAAAGGCCATGGCAGAAACTAACATAGACTCCCCTTAGAAGACGAAAATGCATGACAGAACAGAAGACTACAGTTCAATATCAAACTTCAAGCAAAAATAAGATCCATAAACTCAATGAAGCTAAAGCTAAGTGTAGCCATGGCTGAATACAAGCTCAATCAGGCTTCCTTCAAGCTGATTTCAACATGGTATACAATTCAATAAATTGGCATTTAACTTCAAACTCAATGCTGCCAGTAAATTGCTTAATAGAGGATCCCATTAGGATAACCAAATCATAAAATTGTCAAATGCATACAATTCCAAAAGGCAACGGCAAAATAAATTCAAGAAATTCATACAGATCCACAGACATGGATAAATAACTAAAGTAAAGCAGGGAGACGTGACGTGCAACATAATTCCTCATGGAATCGGTGACGAAAATGGCAACACATCATCACAAAGAACAAAGTAAAGAGGTAATCCCAATAATTGAACTACTGAAGAAGAATCCTCGGCAGAAGAAAGTACAAACCTTTTTCTGGAGCCAGCTTCTTTTGTGGTCTCTAAACTCTCAAATCCATCATCAAATCCAGCGCTGTAGCATAATCACGAAGAAACACAGGAATTAAAAAATTAAAATAAGAAATACACTGATGTTTAACAAGCAAAAGTAGACAATCTTCTTGAAATGAGTTCATACAATCATACATTGATCTTCAATTACATAAGAACACAGTTCGACTCATAACATATAACAGTCTCATAAGCATGCAACAACAGGGTCCCCTGAAATAAGTACACTCCGAAAAAAGTAAGCACATAATTGGGCAATCATTGTCTTCTGGGCTGGAAAACTAATTGATGGAGAAATTTAAATTCCTGAACAATGCATGAACAAAAACAGTGACTAAATAACTGGAAAAATCGAAATAATTGAAAGGACGGACCTGGTTGAATTGGAGATTGCATTGATGTTGTTGTGGATAAGAGATTGATGGAAGCCGGGGTCAATACTGGGGAGGTCGCCGCCGGGAATGTTTTCAAAGAAGCCGAAAGGAAAACCCCAATCGGAAATTTCCTCTGGAGACGGAGCCGCCATTTTGTCGTCTCCCCGGTGGAGAAAGAATTGTTGTAAAGAAAGGATTCTTGGTGCGTGGTGGTGGTGGGGTTTTGTGGCAGCGTCTTGGGACTGGAAAATAAAAATAATACTATATAATACAAATAAATAAATAAATGGGAGAAATTATGTGGCGTGGCTGGGCGGGAGGAATCGAGTTCGTTTTAAGACGGTTGATGTGGGCCTACGGATGACGTCACCAACCGAGGGCTGCCTGGTAACTGGTAAAGACTCATTGTTTGGCGGCTCGAATCTAATTTGAGACCAAAATATGTCATAGTGAACCATGGGACTCTATGTCAAAGACCATGGTCTATATGGTCAAATAATTTAATTTGAGACAATTCTTATAGTAGACCATAAATCTACAAACACAAAATTTGGTTTCATGAATTTTACAATGCGATTAATTTCTACATTTGCAATTGAAATTCTCTATTTCTGGCTAAATAAAGAAGGAAAAGCTGTATTTCTATCCAATTGCTAGGGTAGTAAAATACTTCCTTTGTTGGCTTTTAAATATCGTATAAGTTTGAACTAAATTGTTCAATTGATTGAGAAAGCAATATCATGTTAGCTGTAAAAGATTTTCTACCATAATCTTCTGTCATTTCTTACATCATTCATCAGAATTTTGATGTATGATCTTAATGGTTCATAAACTCATTTGATAGTTTCGGAAGTGAATTATGATTGATGGGACAACCAAGCCTTTGCTCCATTGGGCCTAACAGAAACAGGCTCAAACATCAAGTAATATTCACTTAAATCCATTACCACTCATGTGCAAGGGAATATTTCAATATTCTCTCCCTTGGATCTATAAAAGGACATCCCAAGCATTAACTCCATATGTTGTTCTCTCTCTATAACACTTACTTAGTTTTCTTTCTCTCTCTAAAAAAAGTTCTAACTTTAGTATCAGAGTACTAACTCTGTTTTGCAGAGTATTTTGGGCATTCTCGGTACCGTCTAGTAGATCGACTCAAGAGCGCACCATCAATGATTATTGATGTAAAAAAATTTTAGTCTAATTTAACCTGTTAAAAACTAAAATTACGAGAAAGGAAAAGAAATCTACTACCAAAAGATAAAAGAATATACGCATGGAGGAGCCAAAACCTAAAGGGGTACATATTTGACTCAATTATGGCCGTCCAACGTGTGTTTCAAAGGGGGTAGATATTACATATTTGTGGAGACCATCACATCTCTACTTACTTTAGCTTTGGTCCTTCCGCTGCATTTTCCAAGAATAAGATGTCATGGATATTAAGAGTTTTTTTGGCCAACATTTTGTTTTAATTTTTATTTTAATTTTTTATTTAAATTTGAGATAAAATTTAAAATGTTATTTGAGTAATTTTTAAATAAAATAATAATATGTTTAGAGAACCACCGGACGGCAATTTGACGGTGGCGATGGGCTGTCCGAAGGCGGCGCCGGTAGCGCGGAGGTGGTCCGGTAGTTGTGGATGAAAATTATGTAAAAGTAATGTTTGAAATAAATTTTAAAAAGTTTAAAAAATTGTTTGAATAGTATTGGATTTTGTATTTGAGAGGTGTTTTAAGAATTAAAATGAGGCAAAAAGACAATATGAGACTTGTCCAAACAAGCCCCAAGCACTTTCTTCTTCCTTCTTTTTGTTTCAAATAGTTTTTCTATCTTATTTGGGGCATAGTGTTCGCACCTCTTAGCTTTCTGATATCTTGTTTTGTATAGGAAGGCGATGAGGGCGACTGTCTAGAGGCTAGAGCTCAACGCCAGAAGGGGCCAACTCAGTTGTTTTAGCTCATTTTTTTAAAATAAAAATGATGGTTACTGATAAGGGTCCAATTTAAGAAGAATTCACCAAACTATTATATATTAACTTAGCTTTCAGAAATGAAAAATTACAATCGAACTTATCTTGAAAAATAGTACATATTTTCCCATTATCTTGAGGTTTTTCTGACAAAATAGATTTATTAGAGTATCTCCCAATATTATACTGTAATTTGCACAAAATTTAGTGCTTTAATAGAGTACTGTAAATATCTTTTTACATTAAAATTCTTTGCACTCTAACTTGATGCACCAAAAGATCTAAATATTAAATGTTTAAGTAAAAATTTTCTTTTTGTGGTTAATTGAATGCTTGTAATTTGGTGATAATTTTGTGAAATTATTTTTTATAATCAATTTTGATTTGATTGTAGAAGTGTCAATTTTTTTTTTTAAAAAAAATTGTTTCGTATTCAATTTTAATAATAACTAACAATTAATTTTTTAAAAAATAAATTTTATATCCAATATGGGGTCTAACTTTGAAGATCTCAACAAAATATCTAATATGATAAAATTTTCACAATATAATTCATTTTACAAGTTAAATTACATATTTAAATTAAAGTAAAAAGATAATGCATTAAAAAAAGTGTAATTGACAGGTTACACCAAATTGAAGGTAACACTATTTATTGTACCAACACAGTGCAATAATTTAGTATCTTTGTTCACATGCAAACTTCGTTGACGTACAATAGTGTTCTGGTGTCTTGGTTGGAGATGTTAAAGCCGTGGCATGCATGCACACTAAAATGATATGAAAAACTGTTCATTTTGCTCAATCATACACTAGTTACATAAGCTATGGACTAGACTAGAATATAAAACTCATATTTTAAACAAACTTTTCCGAGCAATAGAGGATGGTGATTTATTATGCTTCTGACTCTATTATAATCTCTCACCTTTACTGTCACATCAATTATTTCCATAGAATCCCATCGCTTTTCATTTGAAACTCAGTAGGTGAAGTGTGAAGTGAAGATACTATGAAGTATTATTCCTTTAAATTCCATGCTCAACTTTGAATCCATTACTCAATTATTCATCGACATAGTTGAGTCTTATAGTGTTTAATCCCATTAAACTTTTGTAATGTTTTTGTGTTCCACTTTGTGATACACTTTTAAATAATTGATGTGTCCAATTACTTATAAATAAGTTTACTTACTAGGTTAATGATGTGCTTATAATTTACCTATTTTTAATATCCCTTTATGTGAAATTTTGCTATATTTTGAGAACAAATTTACTATTTATATGATTTTATTTGTATTTGTAAGAATTGTAACAAATGAAGAATTGTTGAAGTTTTGATCTAAATAAGAGATTAAAGCAACTCGAAGGGTAGAATTGAAGATTTGAGAAATTGAGAAGGAGGAAATCAGAGATCTCAAAAACTAGGAGGACTGAATTGCAATTTTTGTTTTCCTTCCCAAGTTTTGGTCGAGAAGAAGCTTCTTACGGTGGTGTTTGGAGTTGGAATTTGGCTAAAATTTTAATCCCAATTTTAATCGGGAAACAAGTTTTCTTATTCCCGAAAAAATATGATTTGTCGGAAGCCTATTAAAGAAGTATTAGGGTTTTATTTTTAGTCCTGGACTTGACCGAAAAGTCCCCAAAACCCTATGTGGCTGCAACTCCCCGTCGAGCTCCTTGCTCTTCACTTCATAACCACCACCATCATCATCGCCGACAGCTTCTATTCTCCCTTCACGGCAGCCACCATCTCTGTACCATCCCGTCACCTTCCATCACCACCGAAAACCGAAACCAAAGCCGTTGCACTTCCCTCCGCCGAACCACCACCTTGCTCCTTTCTCCTTTGCGTAGCAACTGCCATTGCCACCACCGCTGCACTTTCGCCACAAACAAGCAGCTTTCACGCAAATCACCAACTACCACCTGCAACTCAATCACTGAACCAGCAGCCCAAGCACGCTTCAGTTTCTTTTTCTCCGCCGCATCTCACCACCATCATCACCTTGATCAGCACCCTTTTTCCGCCACCGCACCTTGCGCAGCAGCCCAACTCCTTCATCTCCTTCCCGCAGCAACCGAAGCAGCCTCCTCAAGCTTCCTGCAGCCAAAGAAAAAAAAAAGAAGTGGAAGCAAGTAGCGGCAGTGACAACTTCGGCGTGCACCGGGTTTAATATTCCAGTTTTTAGTTTATTTTTCAGAATTTTGGATTATGAATATTATTATTATTGCATCATCAATTTTAATAATGTTTAGAGGCTAAAGTTCTATAACCTAGACTTAGATGTAGTCACCGGATTTATTTGGTTTATTTGATTCATGATATTTGATTTTTCCATTGATTATTATTTGATATTTTTACTTTTATTCCATGTTTGTAACTGGCCACTACTTGCATGTTTAAAGATATTAATTGATGGAAAGACAGTTGAAAATTAATATTATGTCATAGGAATATCGGACTTAGGTAGTGAACCATGACAGTAGGAACACAACCTTTGCAACGTTTGATTCTTAAAGGTCTTAATGTGCTTTTGTTAATCCTATAGTCACGAGAGTAGTCTTGGGGTTAATTTAAGTAAGAGAACTATAGCGCAAGAGTGTGTAGTTCTTAATTAGGTGAATCGTTGTGAGATTAATGGAAGTTAAAAGTCAGATATTTATGAATTGAACCAAACCAAATATTCAGTAAGTGAACCCAATGTCTTAGGTTTTCCCAACTTGATTGTTTCAATCTTTGAAAGAAATTGCAATTTTAGATTTTTAGGTTTAGTTTTATTTAGTCCAAAAACTTGAAATCATCATTTATCTAGATAATAATAGGAGTAATTTATACCTGGTAATTAGTTTTCCTTCTCTGTGGGTACGACCCTATTTTCCGTTATACTAGTGTTAAGTAGGTAAATTTATTTGTATAGTTGTAAATGACTGATAATGTTAATATTAGCATGATATTTGTGGTGGTTTATGTGTTGTTTTGAATATTATCTATACTAATATTAGTGCTTTGGTTCTTAATTTGATCTTAGAAAAGATTCGGAACAAAAAGAAGAAAAGTGTTGATTTTGAAGAGATTTTGAAGTTTTATTGAATTAAGTTTCAAGATGGAGAAGAAGTGGTTGATTCCCGCGTGGGCACACAAAATCCATGCCAAAATCAATGAGGAAGCAGGAAA